CCTGGAGACCGCCACCTGGGGAATCCCCTTGGCTGCAGCCACCTGAACGCAAGACGACGGAGAGTCAGCCAAAGCCCTCCAAAGGGGTAACGTGCTTTGAGCAAACGTGTTAGGCTTGGCCCGGCCAGGGCAGCAAGGCAGAAAGCCTGGGATCTCTGACCCGTGCGGGGTTTCGCCCCCCAGCCGCTGCAACAGGCTCCCTGGGGCCGCGAGTCCGGAAAAGGACGGGCTGCGTGCCGCAGAATCGGGGCCACGCCAGCACAGCAGAGGCTGACGGAACAGCCGGAACGGCCCAGCTCGCAGTCCCTCTCGTCCGTCACCACGATCCCATGAATGAGCTCCCTAAACACAGACAGGGAGCCATGAGTGCCTCAGACCCAGCCTCCTGGGCCACTCCCCCCTGGAAACAGGGGGGGCCTCCCCCCCAGTGCGGAATAGCCCATCGGCCCCTCCCACACCCATGCTGCCTTTGCGCAAGGGGCTGAAAACACGTCCAAAATCAGCTCCCGGGGGGGTTACAGGCCTGGACCCCAGCCCCTAGGGCCATCGGGCAGCCCAGTGCATTGTTGGGAGTGAGGGGAGGCGAGAGACTTGGGCCCTTCCGCCAGGCGGCCGAGATCCATGCAGGCAACCGAGGCAAGAGAGGTTGCTGCCTCTCCCTGTCTGTTCTGTCACTGTACGGTGCATCGCACATGGGGGCCTGGCCCGTGACTGGTCTCCTGGTGCCCCTCCGTCACCTCTGACCCCCTCATTTATCATCTGCTTCCCTGGGATGGCACCGTGCCCCCGGCTGGCAGTGCCAGCAATAACCCCAGTGCAACAGCCCCGGCGAGCCGGCACGGAGCTAGCAGAGCATGGCATGGACAGCCTGCACCCAGCTCGCCCGGCACAATGGGCGCCCTTGCCTGCCCCTCCTGGAAGGCGCTACTCTAATGCACAGTTCTTCCTGGGAGAGTCCCTGGCCTGTTACATGGCAGGGCCTGCCTGCAGCTCCACGGGGCCCCTCCCGGCCTGGGAATCTATAATTCAGAGGAAAGTTCCCATTTGGTCCTGGGGAGGCCACATCTGGAGTATTGTGTCCAGTTCTGGGCCCCCCACTACAGAAAGGAAGTGGGCACATTGGAGAGGGTCCAGTTGAGGGTAACCAAAATGATTCGGGGGCTGGAGCACGTGACTTATGAGAGGCTGAGGGAGTCGGGGCTGTTTAGTCTGCAGAAGCGAAGAGTGAGGGGGGATTTGAGAGCAGCCTTCAACTTCCTGAAGGGGGTTCCAAGGAGGATGGAGAGAGGCTGTTCTCAGTGGGGGCAGAACAAGGAGCAATGGGCTCAAGTTGCAGTGGGGCAGGTCTAGGTTGGAGATTAGGACAAACGATTTCCCTAGGCAGGTGGGGAAGCGCTGGGCTGGGTTCCCGAGGGAGGGGGTGGAGTCTCCATCCCCCGAGGTGTTTCAGTCCCGGCTGGACAACGCCCTGGCTGGGATGATCGAGTTGGGGTTGATTCCGCTTTGGGCCGGGCGCTGGACTTGGTGACTCCTGAGGTCTCTTCCAGCTCCAGGATTCGACGGACGTGGAGTTCTGCCCTGGCGACGCAGGCCCGTGGCCCACCGGGTCCGTCCTCAGGCAGCAGCCAAGGCCTGGCCCCAGCCAATGCCTGGTGCTTCCACATGGCCCTTCCCCTATAGCGTGCTGGGCTGTTTCTTTCGCTATAGCTCACTTGGGTTGGGCTTCATCCGCTCCCGGCCCATCCCTCCGTGGTGGAAGGAGAACAAAGCCACGGCAACCTCCTCGAGCGAGCCCCACCCAGCGGTGTTGTAACACACCAGTCAGGCGAGGTGTCGCACCACCGCTCTGGAGGGGGGTCAGGCGATGGGCTGGTGTTCCCAGCGGATTTACTGCCAACCCCCAAGGCTGCCCTTCTCCAGGCGGGAAATGCACAGGGGGGGCAGGTGAAATTAACACCTTGGGCATTGCTGCCACCTATGGGGGGCTGCTGGGAATAGCACCTCCCCGTCTCAGGAATGCAGCCAACGTGGTCAAAACGGCCCCGCGACGGCCGTCCTTACTCAACGCCCGGGCCGCTGTGGGGCCCAGAATAATCCCGCCCACCCCGCAGCCCTGGGCACAAAGCCAGGCAGATGCTGCCCAGGCCTCTCATCTCTCCTCGGTCCTGCTGGGAGTTTAGAACCCGGGGGCAGCTCCCCCCATGGCACAGGCACGTGCTGGCTTTTGGGAGCGCTGCTGAGCGCGTTCCTCAGGCTTCCTACCATGGCAGGAGTTGTCCAGACATTAGCCCGCTAGCTCAGGGCCATCCGCCCTATCGGAGCGAGGGGGAAGCGACCTGCCCACCCAGCAACAGAGACAAGACCAGAACCCAGGGGTATGTCTAGACTACATCCCTCTGGCGCTAGAGGGATGTCAATTAGACAGACCGAAAATGCTAATGAAGTGGGGATGTCAATATCCCGCGCTTCATTAGAATAAAAATGGCCACCGCGGCACTTTGCCGGCAAAAAGCGGCAGTCTAGACAGGGATCGGCCAACAAGGAAAGCCTTTTGTGCGACTGATCCTGTAAACCTCATTGCACGAGGCAGAAGGATTGGTCGCAAAAGGCTTTCCTTGCCAGCCGATCCCCGTCTAGACTGCCGCTTTTTGCCGGCAAAGTGCCGCGGTGGCCATTTTTATTCTAATGAAGTGCGGGATCTTGACATCCCCACTTCATTAGCATTTTCGGTCTGTCTAATTGACATCCCTCTGGCGCCAGAGAGATGTAGTCTAGACATACCCCAGGAGTCCTGGCTGCCAGGACTCGTTAACACTGCCCTTCTCCTGATTACAGGAGCCAGCCCGGGGAAGTCATCTCTGCCTGCAGCTCCAGATCCGCTGTCCTAGTGTGGTTTCTGGCAAGGCCCCGCTGGCCGGAGCCGAGAGACAGACTTACTGTTGCCTCATCATGGGGATGTTCACACAGTTGGCAGCGGCTACGGCTGCGAACGGGACCCAGCGTGCCACGAGGGGCGGGGCTCTCTAGGGGAGGAAAGAGACCGAGGTGAGCGCGGCCATCACAAGAGTCCTGGAACTGGCCTCGCCAGCCCCTATGTGAGACGAGCTGCCAGGCCTCAGCCTGCTGGAAGCCAGCAGGCCACATGCAGCGGGAGAGCTGGTGCCCTCAACAGCGCAGTGGGAGGAGTGACTCAGACGGTGAACCTCCTGGACTCAGAAGCAGACGTGCGTAGGGGACGCTTGCTTGCTGCCGCACAGGCTGGGCCTTCAACGAAACCCTCCACCCTGCAGGGCCGTCAGCTGCCGCCATCCACCCAAATCAGACCCAGCCGCTAAAGCCGGAAAAAGCCAAGACCCAACTGCCTTATTAAACCCACTTCCCCTGCTACCGCGGGCTGGTAACTTGCTGCCAGATGCCGCTAGCAGGGCCGGTGAAATCCACAGCCAGGGCCTTGCAGGGAGCACCGGACAGACCTAATAGGGCAGGTGTGGTAGTGGGATCTCCGGAGAAACCTGCTGCTCTCTCCACAGCAAGGCTCTCAGGAGAGGCGGTGGCACGGCTGTGTGCGAGGGACTAGTGCCAGGGTTGGTGAGGCGAGGCATCGGGGCGAGCGCCTCCCAGCGTGCGAGGGACTAGTGCCAGGGTTGGTGGGGCGAGGCATCGGGGATCCTCGCC